GCAGTAATCATAAGAATTTCATAAATTCTAAATATATTAGAAATATATTCTAAACAAGCAAAATAATACTTAAAAATAAAGCTAACAACCCTTCTAATATTTTTCGATTTTGAAAAGTCAAATTGTTTGATCTAAATATTTTTGCGCTTTTAATCAATCTCTTGGAATTGAAGGATATCAAGACACGTGATAGAATGAGCTTGGCCACGTGGGCGAAGATAAACAGCATATACGTTTACTCGTGCACTCGTCGCAGCGGAATTACTCGGAATGCCGACCACAATGGACATAAATCAGCTGTTCTTCGCCGACAACGTTTCGCTGCCATTCGCTCGCGCGACCAACCGTGCTTTCTGCAACTTTTGCCGACTTGTTCAAACTCTGATGTGCTGTATAATACATTCGATGAACTGATGAACACTCAAGCTTATTCGCGAGGAAAATGATTCTATTTTGCAAGGCAGAAATGAAGAAATAAATATATGTATGGAGAGTCTAAATTGTAGGCGCAGAAGAAGTCACAAATATTATAAATCGCTGTGTTGATAGAAAAGCAACCTATTTCAAAGTTAGCAACTTTTGAGAGTGGAGCACTTTTAAAATTCTGAATTGAAACAAGGCTTTAACGTTAATACCGCTGGATAGTGTTATTTTAGCTCCGCTAATTACTTCAATTTTGTTTTTTTTTATTCGTATTAAATATATGAATAATAAAAATATGTGAATATAATATAATACAAATAATTATACTGTCTAAAAAAAACTTCGGAATGGAATCTCACTCTCAAGTCTTGATAAAGAATGGTTTAGTTTTCAATTTTTAAGAGTAAGATTCACTCTAAAAGTTTTAGAGAGTAACGTTACATAATATCAAAATAATTTTTGACTAATCGAAAATAAGAATAGAAAATTACCAACTTTTAGCAGTTTTAGCAGGATGTCGACTCTTTTTATGTTAATTAGAATACTAAATATGCATAACATCACTTTCTTTCCATACTTTCAATTATAATGTCATGGATTTTCAAAATTTGAGCATTGCAACTTTTAATTTTTAATTTTTATCACTTTTCTAGCAATGCAGCAAAATATATGGGTGCAATAGAAAATTAATCAATATATACAAAAAGTAATTCCTGGTCCATTTTAATAGGTATCACAGGAAAGCTCTAAAATTGTCGCACAGTATCATCCGGGTGGTCCGACGGAAGTCGATCGCGTGTATTGTCTAAAAAGAAAGGGAAGGAGATTCGGAGCGATCTCCTTTTCGTACGAGAGATGTACAAAATCACATCGGGCGATCCCACGATGTAATATCTCTTACAACGTGCCTGCTCGTGCGTGCTCCTGCGAACGCTTCCGGATTATAGACGCAGGTAGACGGACAGCTCGATCCTGGAAAAGGCAACGAGCAACACGACCGCCTATTGTGCCCTACGTCGATGATCCTGCGTTCGCGCGACTCAAATCGTAAATCGGTGAAGGATCCTGTACCTGCGATCGTTTTTCCCAAACGCGTTTCAAGCCGGCATACTCAGCCCCACCCTAAAAGATACAATATCTCGTGATCTTTTTAATGTCCTCGATCCTCGATTATCTCTAAGTATCGATGGATACACAAGATGTGGGCAAAATATCGTTCTACTACTTCTAAAGAAATATTTATGTAGTAAAATATGTTTCCTTTTATAATTTTTTTATCAAAATCGCTTTATAATTTTTTTAATTTTCTATTCATATGTTAGTTTAATTAAAATATTGAATTTTAGTTAAATAATTTAACTAAAAAATTATATTAAATCTGATTCAAATTTATTTTATCATCAATTAATAAATGCATACGTTAATATTTGTTATCTATTTTGAATCTAATCACAGAACTGAATTAATTTTCATTTTGACAATGAATCACACTCAAACAAACTTGTATCATCACAAATAAACGTTTCCTTGCGCTGCTTCCTTGCGAAAAAAAGGTTGAACGTTTCGTTTACGAGACACGCATGTAAAGAAGAAAATTAAAACGCAGTAGAACGTAAACGCGAGTTTATATCCCCGGTATCCCAAGAGATGTTGATTCGTCGGAGATCAACATTCTTCCCATGGCAGTCCCGTCGTCGTTACGCTTTGTACAATAAGCGCTCTGAAAATGAGTCGCTGACGCCAGTCGAGCGGTTTGTTTGCACGATCGTTTGGAGGCCGAATGAAATCCGCTTAATGCGATCGAGCGACGGTTCGACGATTCGATCCTCTCCCAGTTTCACGTGGAAAGGGCTTCCGTCATAGTAGCGGAAGGGTCGGCTCGACCAGAGGAGTGGGCTCGAGAGGGCACGCACGTGGGACGACGAAGGGGTGAGGAAGAATCGAGCTATGGCGACTTCGGGGAGGCACGCGCTTACGACACGCGCTCGTTTTCTCCTCGCCACTTGAGATCGCCCCGGGGACATTAATCCCGTTTAATCAAACACCGGCCAGAATCGTAACCGTCATCTCATTGTGTTTACTCTTCCTTGCGGGACAAAAAACAAGGGACACGGTGTTTATGCATTATTAAAAAAAAAACAACTTTGTGTAATTTAATATACACACTGCAAAAAAATATACTAAATTTTAATAAATATTTGTTTGAATAATGCCAATTGAATATTTGCTGAATGTAAATTTATATTTATTTGATATAAGAATTTATTGTCATTTAACTATTTTATTTTTTATTAATTTAGCAAATATTTATTTTTTGTAAATAAATGTTATGTTAATATTATTCAAATGATTATTTATTAAAATTTAATACATTTTTCTTTCAGTGTAATAATTAAAATAGAATAGAATAGAATCTTTCTATTGAAAATATGAATCCATTCGCAAGATTCTCACGACATTTGATATGAGTGACACATTTTGTGTGTTTATTTATAGAATTAGTTACGCTGACGATAAGATTAAAATGAATTATGTTTCCGGCTCTGCGAATCAAAAGATAAAGTAAAATGAAAAAAAAAAACTTTTATGAACCAACGTAGTTAATTATTGCGATACGTGAATTATTGTATAATTATTGGATACGTAGTTTAAAAATTATTATATATTGGACTTGATTATTTTATCATATAGGACCTTAATTATTTTAAATATTTGGTGTTTAAACTATGGAAGAACTTGACTTCCACCTTATATTATTAATAAGCACTAAATAGGATTCAAATCGAGGTATATAATTACTGATTAATACACACAATAACTGATGCATCATTCACTGCTCATACAGATTTTTTTCTACCTTATCCATACTGATTGGTATTGAAAAAAAAATTATAAGCAAAGAACTAATAAAAAATACTGTGTTATAAAGGTTGGAGCATACTGTCAATTGCATCTCTCTCTCTCTCTGATCTTGTTTTACGCTCTTCTTTATTTTAATTAAGTATATTATTGTTATAAATAGCTGTTATGAATATAAAAATTGTTTTGTTACTTATTAATCCACGAGTTCTGTTCTTTTAATCGTTTTTTTAATTATAACTTGTAATATCATTAGTGCGTAATTATCATTAATATTCTTATTAATAAATAAATTATCTAAATATTGATATTCAATTGATAGAATTTATCAATTTGCATTTTAACTTTGCAAAATGATTAATATCGATTACAACAAATCTTCATAAAATTAAAAATATCATTTTCATTGACATTTAAGCACGCGCATGCGATTTAATTATCAAGTACAATTCTCTTAAAACATTTAATTACGCGTGTTTTCCTAATTCGCTTGTATAGGCTGCTGTAGACTTTATTACTGAAGATTAATATCTTTTCATTATTATAAGATTAAGCTTCATTATTATAAGATGAAACTTAAGATATTTAAAAAAAATTCACAGACACCTGGAATATTACATAAATATATAATTTCGATTAAAGAACAGATTGATTCATTCGTGAATCGTTTTACAAGATTCATCCGAATGTTCGTCAGTATCATCCTCGACTGGATCCTCAATCCCTTGTTCGTTAGTTTGATTTCTAGGATCATTTCGCATATCGATCAACAGACTTTGCCTACACAACGTCGTGATCGTGCTCATGTTGCCGCTGTCGACGTTTCGGGCACGAATTAATCGCGAAAGCTTCAGCTTCCCGACGATCTTTGCCAACGGGCTCGAGGAATCGCGGCGTTTCGCAATGGCCCTCGGCAGAGACTCGCATCCGCGATCAACCGTGACCAGCCGATCAAATGTATCGGGATCCACGTTGATCATTCCGGCACTTGCTGATTTCACCAGCGAATCCGTTCGAACATCGATCTTCTCCTCGCCCAAAGACACGGTTTCGTTCTCTACGGTCAACATCGTTGTTTCTGTATGATTTCTCGCATATCTCGATTCTTGCGAGCTCGAAGCAGTCACTGTCTCGTTCAACTTCGATATTTCTCTCGCCGATATCTGAGTCGTCGACATCCGTCTCCAAGGATCTTCAGGATTGGAGGTAGCATCCATCGAGTCCATTACGGAGCGACAGAAAGGACCACCTCGCCGAGACAGAAAGTTTTCCTTGGCTCGTCTTATCCTGGAGGAACGTGATTCCAAACTGTTGATCACGGAGGATTCCGCTATCATCGTTCGTCCTTCTCTTTTCGCTGCGGCATCCGAAAGTATCTTAAGTTTGTGCATCAAGTCCGATGATACCACATCGCATCTAGAATGATTCTCGTTTTGCTGCTTCGCTTCGTCTTGTTTCTCTTGCCACCTCTCTTCTCGCTTCTGGTTTCTTTCCACATCGCATTTTCCTTCGAATTGCACTTGACTGCACTTGACTTTATCGCGTTCGCCATCGTCGTGTGTTTGATTATATTTTAATTTGCCCCGCATTCGGCATGCATCTGGATCCCGTTCGAGCATTGCTATTTTTGATTTTTCCAGTTGCTTAGAAATTCGTGCAGAAGTATTTCCGATCGAGCATACGTTCATTGTCGCAAGCTCTGTGTCTGATTGAATTTCTTCTTGATCTTCATCAATATATGGTGGATCTTTGTTACTTGATTCTCCGTTCAGTCTCTTATTATTCACGTTATTCTCTTTGCACAGTGAATTTTTTTCTTGAATCATTATTGCATCTTCCGTCTTGCTTTCTGAGCTTCTTCTGGACCTGATGATTTCGGAGAGAATCTCACTTTCCTTCGACGTAGAGCGCAATGGCCACGGCAACGATAATGATACGCGCAGTAGAGCATCTTGTCGGCCCAATTTCGGCGACGCCGATCTCGACTTGTTCTTAGATTTCGACAAATGTGGAAGCCGATCATCGACGGAGCTGTCGCTCTGCTTTCTCGAGGACGGTCGATCTTCTGATCGACGAAACGGGCTGAAAATCATGCGTTTTGTTTTCACGAAGACGTTTCTGGTAGAAGAACCATCCTTCTTGACACATTCAACTTGATGATCGCGAATTATTTTTTTAGATGCGTAATTATTGACGGCCGCGATGTCGTTCTGACGATTTGCTTTTCTGAAATGATTTCGAATTCTTTCTGTAGATTTCGTCCCACTTTCCGTGCACGCCGTAGGAACAATTATTTTATTCAAGGTCTCCTCGTTGATCAGAATTTTTTCCAAACTGCGCATTTCATTGTTCCTAGAGACTGTTACAGGAATAGTCTGAATGGTCGAATCGATAAAGAGACTTCTCGGAGTTTCTAAGAGATTTGATTTTTTTGTTTCTGGTACTCTCGATAATGAAGAAATATCTTTTATATAGTTGCTTCTGTCAGAAGAGGAGCTGTGAATTTTGTGATAATCGACTGGCTCGTACAAGCGATTATCCATTGTATTGCCGCACATATCGGTTTTAAACATGAGAATTTCATAATGCCGATCCGCATCGGTCTGCAACTCGGGTGAACCGCAACTCTCATAATGTGCTGAAGCCTCGCTTTCGCTATCAACGCCATGGCATTCCGATGTAACCTTATTATCTATATACGAGAAAAGAATTTTCATGATATTCTTGTAAGAGAAAAAGATATATAAAATTAAAAATATCTTAGCTGTAATTTTAGCTAAAAGTTCAACTAACAAAAACTAAAAGAGAAAAACAGATCCGATATTAATCAAAAAATGTTGGCCATAAGATTAACTACAAAACCACAAATAATTTGACTTATAGGAATGATTTATTTTTACAAAACTCTAATATTAGCCAATTTAATATTAAAAGATGATAATGAATTATTTATTTTAAGCATTAAAAGTATTATCAATGCTTTTTAATCCATATGAATAATTACTATCTTTCAGTCTTAGGTAAAAAAACCAATAAGAGAATTATACTTAAATTTTACATTAGATATCCAAATGTAATAATAGAACACTTTACGTTATTTTTATGTTTTTATAATACTTTGAAATGTGACACATGTATCCTTAACATAAAACACAATAAATAGAAATTACAAGAATTAAAGAAGAATATGAACTTGCCTAAATTTAAATTCAATAACTTTGATGAAGTTTCTTTGGAATCAGGACAAACCGAAGATGGTACCGTTTTTGTTAATTGATAAGCGCAAAATTCTGCGCTAAGAATTATGTCTCCCCGTTTGGTCTTCTCATCATCTTCGTCATCTCGGAGATTCTTCGCATCGCTCGTCCGCTCATTGTTCGAAGATTCGTCTGCTAGATCCTCGGGCTTCTCCTTACACGTCTCATCCATCCCTTTGCACGTACGCGGTGGGTCCTGGTTGTACCGACAGGACTCTAATTTCAATTGCGTTATGATAAAACTTACTTTTCCAAAAAGTTTGCTTCGACGCAGTGACTGGAATGTCTTGTGAATCTTGAGCGATAAGCAACTTTATTCGTAAATAAACAATTTTTTTATTCATGCTTTGCGCGAAATTGATTAAAATTAAATAAACGTGCGAAATGAAAACATGAAAATAAGATTAAAATAAAAATTGAATTTTAATTTTTTATGTACCATAAGTTCTTCCGCATTCGAAGCCATCGGTGAGATTTCGAGACTTTTAAAGTGAACAGATCCAACGTTGTCACTTTCTGAAATAGAATATTGGAAAATAGGGAAAATAATATATCTTTGATTTATTTCTACACGGTGGTTTATAGGAAGTTGATAAACTTAAATTATATCATAAAATAAAAAAAGTAAATACTTTATCTCTACTCTAAAAAAATTGATATATATGTCTGGAATACTTTACCGAGGAAATCTTCTTTTCTTGTATCACTTTTATTTTCGCAGATCGATGTGGAAGGCGATTCGAGAATCATCGAATCTCTGAGAACACATTACCGATTTTTTATACGATTGTCAAAGTCTGCACGAAAAAAATGATTTTGCTAAAAATTTAATCAAATACAGATCTGAAAATAATTTTATTTGATCATCAAAATAATTATGTAGAAAATTCGAACATAAGCAATTTTTACAAAAATTTGAATGTCCATGAAATATATACTTATTTTGATTATAATTTAATTTATCAAATCTATATTTACTCTCTAAAATTTTTAGAGTGAAAGCTCATTTTGAAAAGTAAAATTTTACTCTTAAAGATTGAAAATTGAATTAATCTTTTTTAAGACTAGTTCAATTTTTACTCTTTAAAGTGAGATTCCGCTCCAAAGAATTTAGAAAAATAGATTTAGCTAAACTTTTAGATACTTCAGCAAAATCGTTTTTCCGTGTGATAACTTCTTAAAGAAATTGATTTGAAATTTACCTATTTGCTTCATCACCCGATTTATCCCAAATATCTCGATTCCATCCAATTGAACGGTCAGACTTTACAGAATCGCCACAATCTGGAATTGAGCGTCGCGCCTTCTCGGTCCTTCCTGTGTCGTCGTCTTCCCTGCTTTCTTTGCACCAGCTCGACTCCCAGTTCGACTTGTCATCATCCAACGAGGTTCTTCCGCACCAGTCCTCAGATACCGGGAAGTATTCTGGACTCGGACTGTTCTCGCTCGAGCAAGCCTGGCCAATCTTCGCGATATTCCATCGTTCACAGTCTTCATCGTCTTCGGTCTTGACCAAGAATACTGGCGAAGGTTCATGACTCGATGTGACTGTGCCAAGAGGAACGGCGATGCTAGTGGTTTCGCTGGCTGCGACGGAATACACTGGCGTTTGATGAGGTTGTACTCCTGCCAAGGGACTGGCAGTTTCTTCAATAACGTCTTCGATGTCGACAATCATCGCTTCTGGCTCGGAATCTTCTATCGCTGTATCCTCCGGATCTTTGATTCCTTGTGAGTTATCTGTGACAAATGGATGCAATAAATTATTAGTAATTGATAGAAAATTAAATGTGATAGCACAGGTATGGTTTAGATAAATAAATAAACTGAAATATAATATTTTATAAAAGTAAGCTAAAATAAACTATACTGTAATTAATTGTAAAAATATAAAACTACGTTTTTTGAAAATTAATTAATTAAGCGGAGGTAGCAAACTGATGTTATTTATTTTGATGTCAAAATGATACACAACAATAAATAATGTCAATTTTCCAAGGAATATAAAAGTCAATAAAAAATTAAAATAACTTTATTTTAATTTTTAACAGTTAAATTTTGTAACCAAAAATCAACATTTTGACTTTCTTTTGACTTGGTGTATTCCTTAAGTTGTGTTGTCCGGAAGATTATTTGAAAAATGTTAAAACATAAAAGATATTAAAGACAGATCATTAGTAGAATAGTGTACTTACTAGAGATCGGTAAAATATCTATCCGATTGTCGTCTTCAAGCTTGCCTGCAGAAGTAAGAGATTGGAGACTTGCGGAGCGACGTAATGTGAACGATTCGTCGCGAAGGCTACCTTCGAAGACACTACCGTCAGATTTAGATCGCTTCAGAGTCCAGTGATATGCATGATTCTTGCCTATAAAATTACGGAATAATATTTTAGCAACTGTTATTTCAGAATATCAAGTTTTTCAAAATTACTTAATCTTATTCATCGTACTTGGCTCTGACAATGCAACTTCGTTCGAATCTTGCGCGAACGGCGTGTAGCCCGGCCCCAAAAGGCGAAACGTGGAAGATCTCGGAGATATTCCGCGGTATTTCTCCCAGTCATACAGTTTCCTCGTAAATTCTCGAGATATACCCTCAAAACGGTAAGAGCCGACAGACGTGCGAATCAACACTTCGTTACCACAATTTACGCCTCGAGACGCAGCCATGAATCTTGAATCAACCAAAAAGCTCAGTAATTTGCAAAGTATGATTAATTAATTCTATTATTATATGTGAAAACTACTTCATTTCACTGGGACTCAATTTACCAAATTAGTGTGGAGTTTTTTATCTTATTTTATAATAATTTCTTCTGCTTTAGATAAAAGTTTCTTCTGCAAATCTTTATTATAAAACTATTCATTTTTAAATAAAAAATTAACGTAGCAATAATTTAAAAACAATTTTAAATAACAATTGCAAATCTATTTTATTCATATATGGACAGAATGATTTAAAAAGAGATAGCAATGTTTGTAAATTGAATTCGAAACTATTCCTGCAAGCTATATTTAATGTCGTTAATTACGGTGCAGATTTGTATTACGTCGTAATAATTAAAAAATGTGATATTTCTCAGATATTCTTTACATCGTTCGAACTCGTTTCGTACCTCGAATCACCATCAAAGCAATCGTTCAGCTGTCTCGCATCGCTCTCTCGAAGTTCCTTCTTGGTCCTCTGCCCAAATAGCAGAAGCAGCTTTTCCAAAGCAAGAAACTCCGTTTCGTCAATGTCAGACGTAACACGATTTGTCATCGGAGATTTCGGTCTTTCGCCACTTCGACATGAGGCCTCGCTCATTCTCCTCCATGCCTCCATCCTTTTGATGAAATCTTCGCAAAGATGTTGCTTCCCATCGCTGCTGAAGCTCCCCGCGCTGCCGATACTCGCGCAGCTTCCGCGCGAGCCGATTGAGCTCTGATTTTTCTATCGTGCGAAAAATGTCGAAAAAAAAATTCAGAAATATTCAAATCAGAAAAAAGGCATGTAAATCATATTAATTGTAATATGAAAGAGATCTTTTAGATGCGTAAAGTTTTCGATTAAAAACAGTTTCTAATCTTTTATCTTAATTAGAAGACTATATATAGTAATGCTTATATCAGACTAGAAATTGAGAATTGATAGAATTTGACTAATCAAAACAAAATTTAATTTTTGTGAAGTGAAATTTTATTTTTCATTAAACTTACTAAAAAGATTTCATTTTTTTAAAACAAGAAAGTCAAGCTAATATTATGCCACACATATAATAAAAAAACCGAGCAAGTATACATGTGGTAATAAAAATATAAAAATAATAAAAATATAAAAGAAATAATAAAAAATAATGAATAAATATTAATTTGTAATAAATTCAATTATTTTTTAATTTTATCTACACTTGCTTGTTTTTTGATCACATTCATCTTATATATCATTGGTTTTTTTCTTTGAGTTGATTATAAATTCAATTTCAATCTCAGTCTGATACGGGCACAATAAAGGATAAAGATTTCGATATTCAGGAATAAATCGTCTTAAATTTTACAAGATTACAGCTTTAATCCGGCAACCCTTTCTTTTCCCAAAACACTTATTATTCTTCACGCAAATGTTCACGAGATCAACATACGCCGTAACATCTGGACTCAGGTTTCGACGAGGAAGAGCGCCAAAGTTGCCAGTCGGTCAACCGTCGACGACTGACGCGTTGCTGTTCGATAGCTACGCTGGATCGACGACCTTTCTTCGCTCGTTTCCAGTCCTGCAGTTTTTTCCTAAACTCGGGCGCGAGACACTCCTCGTTTAACGGCAGGCCATTGCGAATGTTTTGCGGGCCCTTCAATCGCTCCCATTCGATCAGCTTCCGATGAAACTCTGCACCGAACTTCTCCCGCAACGCCTGATAATCCCTGCGCGCTTCCCGATAATGGTTGCCGTTGTTGTTGATACCTGCAACGGTTTTACCGAGATCCTCGACGCTTTCGCTAAGGCTGCGAGCTCGGCGCCTATCTGCGTTTATAACGAAGACATTTTATGCAGCGACGAGAAGCATAATAAACATGCAGAAGAGTTAAGAAAGAATCTTCGCAATTCTTTCAGATAGATTAGTCGTGTTTCTCAAGCGGAGTTTAAAGCTAGAAAGATGGAAGAGCTTATAGAAGCTTGATAACAGACATTGATTTTAAAAAAAGACAGCAATCTATATTCGTATATTGAAACTATTCTCGCGAAATGAATTTAATAGCAATAATAATTGGAATACAATCTGATCTGTAATTTTATCGACAGTATCGTTATATTGTCGCGCTACATTTTTATCATATTATTGTTTTACTACAACAAAATAATTTCAAAATATCTATCATTTTTTTTAATTATTTAATTAATTGAATACATTTTAACATTTTTTTAAAATCAGACTTATGTTTTTTGTTTGTCATGTACGCATAACCGGTACAACAGTTACTATTTTTGTTTCGTTTTGATAAGAGCAACATGTGACACATGTACAATTGGCATGTTGTCAAAAAATTTTCAAGTGAGTTGTCAAATTCTGAATAATGTTACGAGAAATTCGTTGCCCGTTTTTCACTTCAGTAAAAAAGTATCACAAAACGGCAAGTCTATCGAGTGGCCTGAAAATAAAATTCGTTTAACCTCCGAGCAACATCAAAAGAAACTTGGACAATATTCTTCATCGTTGGTACAAATCTGTTGTAAAAAGTTGTTTTCTGAATCAAAGCCTAATGTAAATCGCAAATTATCTAATTGTTGATTACACACTTTCTCAAATTTTTTTAACAAAAATGTGCAAATAGATTAAATGAAAATTTTATTTGTATAAATAATAAATTTGTATAATTATATAAATCCTTCAATAATTTATTCAAAATAATTTTGTGTTATTAAAAGTGTTAATTTAAATTATCTCTCTCTCAATATTAAAATATTAAAAAATTAAATTTATAACTCAAATGTCTGATTATTTAATAAAATTGTTTTAAAGCGAAATTCTTTTCTAAAAAAAATTGTCTTAGAATCTCTAGCGTATATAATAATATTATTTATTAATATAATTTCATAAAGCATAATAAATTTTAGTGCAAAACAATTACAGCCAGTGACGATTATTTAAAGGCCCGACACTCTCTAAAGCTTCGTATTAAAGATCTGATAAAATTCGTGGAGAATGAATCGCAATTAATTACGAACGACATAAAGAATCATTTGGATAGCAACAGAGCCACTCATGCGACTCAATTAGAGAATCTCTTCAAGAAGACGACAGAAAAACTGGACGAACTGATGAAATTAGACGTTTCTTATGGCAGCTGGATGCGACAGAAGATGTTGCTGCTCAATGACGAGATAAAACGATCTTTTGACGCTCTGGAACGAGTGATCAATCTAAACGAGAAGCATATAGCATCTACGTTAAAGAAATTGCGAAGTGATGTGTCGATCTGCATTGAGAGCGCGGAGAGAAATCTCGCCGCGTGTCGCAAACATTATCTTCCTTTCGATCTCACGAAATGCACGAAGGAACAGTCGGACGAAGCAACAAAAATGCTCGATCGGATGAAGGAGGAAGCGCGTCGTAAGTTCGAAGAGATCGCCAAGTTTCACGAAACAATTCTGAGAGCACATGAGATAACGACGCAGGAAGCGATAGAGATAAACCATAAAAAAACAATGGATTTATTGAAGTACCTGGAGAAATGTATCTTCAAGCTGAAGAGTTCGAACAAGTAACGCAAAAAACATGGAATTGAGAAATAGGTAAATAATATAATATAATTGTTAAATAAGAAATGAATTCTAGAATTGATGACTAGAACAAAATAATTCATTTTCAATTGATTTGTTAATTAATTTCAATTATCAGTTAATTAATTTCATTTCCATAATTAATAATTAATTTCAATCAATTAATAATTAATTTTTAATTAATTAATTTTTAATTAATTATCAAGCAATCTTAAAATTGCGAACAATTCGGAGAAGCCTCAAAATTCTGTTTCGAACTTCAGAAATAAATGCGTAACAGAGCCGTTTATCTTCGCGCGCCTTTGTGATTGGATACACGTACATAATGTTTCTTTTAAATAAAGATTTATGGCACAAAAGTGTAAAAGACTTGACGAGAATCAGTCCTACTGTAAATCTACTGGACGTTGAAACGAGATTCTAAAATTGTAGGGACCGAAAATTTCAGGTTTTTGAAAAAGATTTAGTTCAAAAATATACATTGTATGACAAATTAAGTTTTTTGCATTAATATCCAGTAAACACGAACTAACAGTAACATAACAAATAATTATAACAACGTTACAATTTTTAGTTTTATCAATAAATTGTGTCAATAAATTGTGCTGCTAGATAGTAGTAATATTATATTAATATTATAATTTTCTACTCAACAATATAAATATAATACAACACATATTGTACGTAAGAGTTACATTGTTGAGTAAAAATTTAACATTATTATGTATTTATAACTGTTACGTGTGTTTTGTATTACATTGTGTTATATGTGTTATTGCTGAGTGGGAAATTATAATATTAATGTAACATTACTATTATCCTAGTAACGCAATTTATTGGAATAACATTGGCTCAGTATATCTCCAATGCATGTCAATATTTAATCAATATCTTGCAAATAAATTGTGTTACTTGGATGGTTAGTGTTTGCTGGATAACTTCTTCACGATTAATACAATTCCTAATGTTGTTAGTTCAAAGATTAATGTTAGTTCAGAATTCACAAAATATTGATTTATGTTGGTTTAAAGAAACGCGTTTTCTGGGAAGCTTCACTAAATTCTCACCATCGTTCATGAACGATTGCGCCGCGATCACTTTAATCGGACTTGGAGGAACGCTGAAAGTGGCATTTGTCAGAAAAGCACGTCTGACCTTGTTCCATTTCGAATCTTGCTGTTGTATCTTTGGCGCTGGCATTATCGCTTCCTCGATCGTCGAATACTGGAAGCAAACATCATGTTATACATGTCACGAAGACGTCTACAACAACCGTTTGGCAAGAGAAAGCATCGCTGCGGAATTCAGAGGACATTTATTACGTTATATAACGGTTATTTATTATGTAGGAAGTATTATTTTCTACGTGGACGAAGATGGTACGTTTTGTTCAAAATATCGCAAGCGATACATCCCTTAACGTAAAAGATAGAAAGAAAAAATTCCGTTTTAGTTTGAGCGAACGTTAGGTATACGAAGTTTTTTACCTGACGCGACGATTAAGTCTATATTTAAGAGTGACAATAGCAATTATGGGAAAATATGGGACTGTAAATATCAGAATTCTGTGTAAATCATTCGTCCAACCTGTCGTTTGAATTCCTTCAGGCTCAAAATGTCTTGCCGCATCCTGGGGCGTTGTGGCGAGCTTCCACCGGAATCTTGTGCGCTCGATGGAAGAGGAGATATCGATTCCGGTGAAGACAAACTTCTGATTTCCTCTTCGTTTGATGGTATCGTGATTGTCAGAGTTGGTGTCGGCCTCTTCGGCGACATTTCCGGATCTTTTCCGCTTCCGCTTGGAGCATCCGTATCCGATATAATGCGAATTAGTGGTTTACCACGATTACCCTGATTAAGGGAACATAACAATTTCAAAATAACAATAAAATTAGAATTTCTATTATTCTTTCCTTTGGAATAAAAAATACATTTTTCATTACTGCAAACATTACTGCGAATTTCGCAGTAATCAATAACAAATAATGCCCATTCATCGTAATACATGTAATATTCGTTAGAAATGAATTAATATTTTAAATAAAAATACCGAAAACATTTTGTCTGTTAGATATCAAAAGAGCAATGGCACCTCTAATCTCTTGAGTTAAATAATATTTTTTATTTTTAACTTTTATTATATCAAGATGTAAATCATTATTGTAGATAGTTTCAAAACAAGCAACGTCCATATTAATGTATGCTCTTAATAAATAGCTCACTTTGAGTCAAATGTAATATATTTTTTTGAGTTAAATTGTTAATTTAACTTCATGTTTTAGTTAAATTAACGACATGTTGAGTAGGAATAAAGACGATCTGTAGAAATGATTAAAAATAACAAAAATTGCACTCAGAGAAAAAAAGAACCATCTTTTATAATAGTGGCAACTATATAAGTGATAATTTTTACAATTTTTATATGTGGAATTAATATACATATAATTAAATAAAAATTATTTTATAATTATAATACTAAAATAAATAATTTTATAATTATAAAACTAAAGTTGAATGATGATTTACAAAAACTAATAAATTACTTTTATAATCATTCAATTTTAATTACAATAACTGTAAAATAGTTTATTCTCTATGCGTACATTAATTCTACATATTAAACTTGTATGAGATATCTCCTATATAATTGCTTCTACTATGTCTTTTTCTCTAAATGTAAGTATAATTTAATATTATAAATTTAACAGTGTTTACTTAGAAAAAGAAGAAATAAATTCACAAAAAGAATAATTTTGTTGAAATACTTAAAAATTTAGATAGATCTAGATCTGAAAATAATTTTGTTGGATCATCAAAATAATTATATGAAACGTTTAAGTTTGTTAGTCGGTTGCTCCAAAATTTTGATTACTCCAAAATCTCATCTACGGATGTACGAGTGCAATTTTAGCTAGGGGACTCTTGAAGAAATTCGCCTTAAAATGGAACCGTCTGTTAACGAATATACTCGCGATGCGCTGATCAAAGAAATTCAACGGGCGCGGTCGTGCGCGCATGTTGCCGTGGATATTTTTAAGTCGGCACTTGTATGTACATCGCCATTCGTGTCGCGGAAAAGGAATTTTGCGGGATGTTCTTATCGAACTGCTACTCTTGTGACGCGAATGAACAATGCGACATTTCATTGTGACAACGAATCGCAATGTGCACTCAAAAAAATATTTTGCTGCTCCAGCTAGAATTATATGTTTTTTGTATCTGATAGAAAATTATGTATCGTACGCATAGAATTTATAGCATAGACTTTATAGAATTTATAGCTATATGATTAGATGCAATACATATCCAATATTAGATGCAATACATATCCAATATTGCAATACTTGAAATTTAACTATTTTAGCTAATTTTTCGTACTAGATAATTTTCGCTATATAACTGGAAGATCACTTTTTTTTAGTGTGGTACGTAGTTCCGCACGTAAAATAAAAATTACATTTGCAGAATATTGCAATTAATTTCTCCATCTTAATATTACCTCATTAGGAGATTCTATGGAATCGACGCTCTCCGTGACGGAAGTGTCACGATCGAGCGCTCGACCATATCGATCTGGATCATCCTTTTTTTTATCATCCTTCACGAAAGGCGATTGTCGTTCCGGATAGTTTACGATATTTTTGCGCGAATCTAGAAAGATGTATCATTATTATATTATTATTAGAATTATATTATTATTAGAATAATCGTCTCCTTTTATTTTATAGAAAGACTCAAAATTACTGATTATATTATTTATTATATAAAGAGATCATTTTGTGATATTTTGATAAAAGAAGACAAATATACCCTTGTTATTGTATTGTATATTCAATACATTAATTATTGAATATATTTAATAGAACACCAAGTTTAAGGTCGCTTTTTTAAAATATAAAAAACCCTTATTCATTCATCACTATAATTTCATATTGTGACGTCAGA